AACAAAACCCTGGAAGTGGAATCGGAGAATCCCCTGCTAAATCCTAAACTCTTAGATTTAGTCTTGGAAAGAACCTTGAGTCCAAGCCTCTTAATTTATAGATGAAGGAGGAAGTCCAGGCCTCTTGCCACCATTCCACATTGCCAGTTTAGTGAATACTTGATTCAGAGTATGTGCCCTTCTCCAGGCCTCAGTTTCCTAATCTGTAAAATGAAGGGCCTACACTCAGTCTTTAAGGTCCCTTCCAGATCTTAATCCCACGGAGAAGAGTTTTCTGGGTTTATTCTGGTCACTCAGTCCCTTCCTCAAGTCCTGGGTGATGGATTTCCCCCAATGTATTCAGCACTTTGACCTAGTGCCAGAGCACAGTGACCTATCTATTGCCCTAAGCAAGGTTTGATCCCCCTGTGTGGGTCCCTGCTCTGCTTTACCATCTGCATGACCTTGAGCAACTATCACTTAACCTCTCTGAGGTTCAGTGTTCTCCTCTTTAAAATGAGTCTATTAGGCAAGCTGGTTTCTGACGCTGCTTCCAGCTCTGGATATATGATCTTTAAAAAAAGAGGGTCCCAGCCCTCACAGAGCTTACAGCCTAAGACCGGAGATGAGGAGGGACACCGCTAACTATGGTACAAAGTAGCAGGGGTTCAGGGCGTAGGATAGCTGCGAACAACCTGCTGTGAGAGATGTGTATGTGTGGAAATGTGGGAAGGCTTCACAAAAGAGCTGGGCTTTGAACTGTGTCTTGAAGAATGACCAGGATTTCAATAGTCACAGATACCAAGTACCCGCCTCCTGTGAACAGACTAAGGTAGGACGGCTTCGTACCCGCCCCCCCCCATTTAATCCGTGATATTCTAGGCAAAAAGTGTAGGAGACTGGAAATAGGCAGTGTGGGGCATTTTGGATGCACCCCTGTATGGTCTTTGCTTCCTACCAATGAAAGTCCCTGCTTTGTGCTTCCTTCACTCCTGTTAGGGGCTCAAGGAAACCAGCATTTTGTAGGGCATCGAGAACTGTCTTAGGACCTGCTATGTCTCAGGGCTATCCAACTTTAAGGAAACCCACTGCATAAAAATTCACACTTTAAAAACAAATTTGGCGCTGATAATGTGGAAATTTTCATTTCTAAAGAGAGACGGTGGGGTGACTTCACTAGGGTAGGCATTCAGTAAATAAATATCAAAAAGATGAATGTTTGTAAAGTGCTTAGCACGGTGCCTGGTACTTCGCATGGGTTTTATAAGTGCTTGTTGGGTTTATATGCTAATGCTTAAATGCTTAGCATGGGTTTATAAATGCTAATGTCTGTTGACTCGTTGCTGCAGGGTTCTTTAAATAGCCTTTCCCCATTTGAAATGGGATCCAATTTACAGAAATTGTCTTTATGCCATGTTTCTTTTGAAAACCCTGCTTTTACTTCCCGAGGGGCTAAGGGTAACTGAATACTGGTGAATGGGCAGTGGACCAGTATTCCAAACTGAAACCCCAATGATGGGTCTCCTGGGATAACATGCAATAAACCTGGAAAGGTAGTTGGGAACCAGATTATAGAGGCTTTCAGTGTCAAGTGGTGAGTTTTACATTTAATTCTAAAGATAATTCTACAGCTTGCTAATGCTGCTTTTTTTTTTTTTTTTTTGAGGGAGTCAGGATTAAGTGACCTGTCCAGGGTCGAACAGCTAGTAAGTGTCTGAGTCTAGATTTGAACTCGGGTCCTTTTGACTCCAGGGCCAGTGCTGTATCCACTGTACCACCTAGCTGCCCAGGAGAAGACATGGTTGGCTGGTTGTACCAATGTGGTCCCTTTGAGAGGGGAGAGTAAAGGTAGGAATCCCAAATAAGAAGCCATTGCAATAACCAGGCAAGAGGTAATAAGGACACCTGAACTGGGGTAGAGGAAGGAAGGAAAGAGACAAGTTTTATTAGGGCCTACTATGTACCAGGCATTGTGCTAAGTGTTTTAACAATACCTCATTCAGTCATTGCAGCAGCTGTGTAAGGTAAGTGCTAGTATTAATCTAATTTTTTGTTGTTGAGTCATTTCAGCAGTGTCTGACTCTCCATGACCCCATCTGGGGTTTTCTTGGCAAAGACTCTGGAGTGGTTTGCCCTTTCTTTCTCTAACTCACTTTACAGATGAGGAAACTGAGGCAAACAGGGTTACATGGCTAGCGCTGGACCATGAAGCTAGTAGATATCTTAAGGTTGTGTTTGCCTTGCTAAGTCATCCAGACTCTAAGCCCAGCGTTGTATCCACTATCTGTTTTGTCTAGGCTGTATGAGTGGAGAGATGGGAGATGGCGGTCAGAGATGCTGTGGAGTTACATCTTCCGTGCTAATCAACCTACCAAACACTTGGTAATCATGTCACTGCTTTGTACACTGTCTCTCTAGAAAAATCTGTCTCTTTCTCTTGGAGCTTTTTCTGAGATGAGGACCTCTTGCATCTCGAATACAAGGCCAGCATTCAGCCTCATGGTTTTTCTTTATTGTGCAGTTAAAGTAAAAGATCTGACCCCTAGAAGGAATTCCCATCCTGAATAAAGACTTTTTTTTATTCTTTGAGCACAGGTCTGTCCAAGTCACATCCCTATTCAAATCAACTCCAGTGTTTCTCTGTGACCTCCAGGATCAAATAGAAAATCCCCTGTTTGGTTTTTAAAACCCCTCCCAAACTGGCCCCTTCCCACCTCTCCAGTCTTCTTACACCTTACTTCCCTCCCTGCAGTCATCCTATAATCCAGTGACACACAGCCCTCCATCTCCTGACCCCTGTGCCTCTGCACTGACTGTCCCCCAAGCCCCTCACCTCTCTGTCCTCTGCTTCCTTTAAATTTCACCCTCTGCAGTGGGGCTTTCCTGGCCCTTCCCACTGCTAGTGCCTTCCCTCTGAGATCACCTCCTATCCACACTTTATCTTAATTTCTGTTTTCATATCCTTAGCACAGTACCCTGAAAACCGTAGGTCCTTAGGGGTTTGTTGTGTTGAAATGAACTGAATTCAGTTGAAATACACGAATACTGTGGAAAGGGTGAAGTCGGGTCTGGCCCCTTGGAGTGTGAGCTACTCTGGGGCAGGGGCTGGGTTTTTGCCTTTCCTCAGTGCTTAGCTCAGTTCCTGGCCCAGAGTGCTTAACCAATGCTTGTTGACTGACTTTCTGAGCAAATGGCAGCAGCTCAGGGAGGAAGAGGTGGAATGAGAAGGAGCTCCACCATGCTGCTGGCTGCTGGGGCCCAAGATGACCAGAGGATGGACCCAGTCAATGTCTTCCAGGGTCTGTCTTTGGTCAGAAACCCATCTGGGAAATAACCAGGGTCTCTGCTGATTCTTTGCCAAGTCCAACGCCTCACGGTCAAGTCTCTGCTTCTCCTCTCTCCTAGTCCTCTCTGGTGCCCGAAAAGGGGACAGTTGGGTTGTAAATCTCTCCAATAACTGCATCTAAAACAACCACCAGTTTTTAAAAGACGGATTACCCCAGTGGCGGGCTGACTGTTCTAAGCTGCCAAGGTACAACTTGAGAAAGAGCCCCCTTGGGGGCAGCTAGATGCAGTGGATTAAGCACTGGCCTAGAAGTCAGGAGGACCTGAGTTCAAATCCAACCTCAGACACTTGACACTAGCTGTGTGACCCTTGGCAAGTCGCTTAACCCCATTGCGTAGCCAAAAAAAAAAAAAAGAGCCCCCTTAATAGTTTAAATGAACAGGGTTGGGGGATACAATGATACAATGGAATGAAGCCCAGACCAGGAGTCAAGTGGCCTGGGCTCCAGTTAACTCCTTGTGTGACCTTGGGTAAATCCTTTCTACTCTCTGGGCCTCAGTTTCCCCATTTGTATAATGGAAAGGTTGGACCTGATGATTTCTAAACTCCTCTTTCAGTGCTAAGCTGAAAGGAAATTTCTGCAGAAAGGGTTTTTCTTCCTTTCTTGGACTTCCCTGGCAAGTTAGGGGTTCCTCAAACAGTGCCCAAGGTTCATAGATTCGCCTAAAACTCTCGTTAGTATAGGTGATGTCTGATATTAGCCGACATTCTACATGATGCTTTAGGTTTACAAAGCGCTTTAAATACATTCTGTCATTGTAACCTCACAACAGCCTGTGAGGTGGGGTAATTACAGCTGTCACTAGCTTAATTTTGCAGATTAGAGACGTTAAGTGACTTGCTCAGGGTCACACGGCTAGTACCTGCCTCATCTCTACTGTAAAAGAGGGCACAGTTCAATGTAATTTCTCTGCTGTTCGCTACTGCTCCCTTGTTCTTTGTAGCAGGCACTCCATTAACCATATCCATTTTACTTATGGTTCCCGGCCTAGTTCAATCCCTTCTGTAACCTGTGTCAAAACAGGATTTTGCTGGGTGAGCCTGAGTGCTGGGACCGCTGTTCTTGAGTCCCAACTCAGCCACCAATGAGTTGTGTGACCCTTGGCGAGTCATTTCACATCTTAGGTCCTCACTTTTCCCCATCTGTAAAACAAATGCGTTGGACTAGGCCAATGATGTGGTGGTGAATGTTTAACAACCAGCTTTTTTTGAAACAAACAAACCAATACATGGACCACATGACACACTTTTAAGTTTGATTTGCATTACCAACATTTTCTCTGTCACTTTCTTAAGACTAGACAATCAACAAAACAGTAAATCAAGACTCGACTTGTAGTATGTTTTTTTTTTCTCCTGATTTCCAAGATGTAAATGCTCACGCTGAGAATTTTATAACTGGCCTTCTGTGAGCCGGTGTGAGCCGACTCACCCCTGGATGAGTCCATCTCTAAGACTTCCACCTAGCCCCAGGATTCCATGACTAGGAGATGGGCACATCCCGCCATTTTGTGCCCAATCCTTGCACGCTCACAGCACCATCCTGACTGTAGCCCCGACACAAAGTTCATTGTTCTTGCAATTCTCAAAACGAACGCTCCCCCAGACACACCTATTCCCCACCCCTACCCTCACCCTGCCCGCCCCCCCAAAAAAAGAGGAAAGAAGGCAGAAATAGAAGAGGGAAAGGGTTGCTAATTTATACAGGGAAATATCTCAGTTAGCAGTCTTGTAGTAGACATCACCGTATTTGTTGCTGCTACATGTCCATCAGCTGGGTTAAACATATCTCTCTGATGGGCCAGACTTTTGTCCTGGTCTGATCAGAGGCCTGTAGAGTGGGAGGAAAGAGACAATTATCATTAATAATATTTCACATTCAATCTGGCAATTAGCAGCAAGAACTACACCATCATTTGTGTCCTTTGAGCCAATAGTCCTGAAGGAAACTGAAAGAAGACCCATTTATACCAAGATACTCCATTTTATTTCATAAACCTTAAAATGATCTATAAATTTTAGCTATTATTATCATTATTATTATTATTATTATTATTCGCCTACTCCTCAATCTGGACACATGAGTTGGTTCCAGGTCTTTGCTCTTATGAAATAAAACGGGGGAAAGGGTTGCTAATTTATACAGGGAAATATCTCAGTTAGCAATCTTGTAGTAGACATCACCATATTTGTTGCTGCTACATGTCCATCAGCTGGGTTGAACATATCTCTCTCTATGATGTCGCCTAGCTGCCAAAGATGTAAGCATACAAAGCTATCTGGGAAGACTTTCCTGAAGTGATCTTAGGATCTTGGCTTCAGAGCCGCAAGGGACCTTAGCAGCCGTATAGGCTGACCCCTTCCTTTCACAAATGGGAAACTCAGACCCAGAGAAACAACATGACTTGCCCAAAGTCACATAGGTCTCAGCAAGTGATGGAGTCAGGATTTGAACTCGAGTCCTCTGATTTCAGTTCTGCAGTACCAAACTACCTTCTGATGCAGACTTAAGAAACCAGAATCAGAACAGTAGAAAAACTGATGAAAACTGTATTTTAAACAAAATTATAGCAACAAAATCCCTAAAAATACACAGCAGAAAATGAGTTGAGAAAGGGGGCATGGACACAGGATATTTTGGCCATTATATGGTTAGAGGTAAGCAAATCATAAATAATTGAATGTAGTCTAACGTATGAGAATTTTCTTATTTTCATTTGCTCATTTTCACCGACGGTTACTAAATTCTCTGTAACTTTCTGGACCAAAGTATCACTCCCTGGTCACCACTCACCTGTGCATGTTATCTCCCTCGTTAGAATGTAAATTTCCTGAGGGTTGTGATTGTCAGATTGCCTTTCTTCTTTTGGCATTGTGCCAGGGAGTGACAGATGGTAAGCACCAAAATGCTTTTTCATTCATTTGCTCAAATTTGGAGTAAATAAAAATAACACATTATATGTCCATCTTATTTTACGTATGTTTTCATGATCTGATAAGGTAGGTGGTATCAGATTTATCATCCACCTGTCTATATTTTGCAGATGAGGAAACTGAGTCTCACAAAGGTGAAGGAAGTGGCTTGCCCACTGGGGTCACCCAAGTTAGTACGGGGCAAAGTTGAGGTTCAGATGTAGCTCACATCTAAACCTCTTCCCTTTGCATCAGCTGGCTCGTTAAAAAGTCAAACCCTACCATAAAGCACTGGGCTCCCCGTCATGCACCAGGTCACATCCCCTGTATGTGCATATCACCCACAAAGCCTTTTGAGGGGGGAGTTACGTTGACTTCCCCTCTCCAACCTCAAGGTTTTGCTGATTGTTGCACAGAGGGGAAGCACTAAGGTGGTGAGTTGTAAAGGGAGGCTGCTCCAGCTCCCTTCACATGTAGGCAGAGGAATCTGGGAGGCTCTGGTGAGACGCAGCCTCTCCTTCTCCAGGCCTTCCAGCTCTGAAGTCCGTGGGATCCTAGCTATGGAGCTGGAAGAGACTTTGGAGGACATCGAGTTTTACAAATGAGGAAACTGAGGCCCAGAGATGGGAAGGGACTTGAGCAGGGGGTCACACAGGTAGTAAGTAGCAGAGGTAAGTCTGCATGAGTCATAAATGGAAGAACTAGGATTGTGGACCAGGTCTTCTGACCCCCAAATCTGTATTCTTTCTACCACACAAGTACCTGGTGTTAAAATGCATGTTACCTGGGAAGGGTTCCTATTCACGCCCCTTAATACATCAGTATATTTTATCCATCCCAGATCATAAGATCATAGATTTAGAGCTGGCAGGGACCTAGGACCATCTAATCTAGTAGAGGTGAAGAAACTAAAGTAAAAAATTGACCCGCCCGGGCTCACACAGGTAGCAAGTGTCGTAGTCGGAATCTGAACCCAGATCTTTCTGCCTCCAAGAACAACATTCCACCCGATGGACCTTTATCACCTTGGAAACCCACAAGTGTTTCCTCATCTCAGGCCATGGGATAAAAGACGGGTAAATTGATGGAAAGGTAGAGATAAGACAGATATAGAGCGTGGGGTATAAGCCAGGCAGGTCAGGCCTGGGTGGGCTTAGAGTAGTTTAGCAAAGAATGACTGGGAGGTCTGTGGGGGAGTTAGAGGCAGGATGGGATGGGAGATACAAACACAGGAGAATGTGGGGACACTAGAGACAGCTTCCTCTATTCCACAGTTTTGTGGTTTTGCCTTGGGTGGGTCACACTTATTCTAAGTCACAAGTGGGTCACCTCTTTTGCCCGAAAATCCCCAAATGGGGGTTAAGGAGTAAGCGTGTTTCCCCCATCCCATTTTTGCCCCCTCTACAAGAAGGCCCACCAGGC